CAAGAGACATGGTCCCTTCTGCATTGAATTCAGAGTAAAGGAGGGGAGAGCTGAGCTGGACCAGGTCAGGAGAGCCATAAAGGAGGTGCTGGACAAGGCTAAGCCAGGTCAGTACAAGTTCTAGAATATGGAGAAAGTTTGGAGTTACACCCAGTGTGGGACTAGCACAGTGGGCTGCCAAATCTGTTTAGAGGAAAGGATTTTGTGGCCTTTCTTTGCCTCCAGGAAAACCTCAGTCAGAGCTAACTACTTTTCTTTCCTTACCTGATCTGGGCTCTGCCTAGGTGCTTAGGAGAAATTCCCAGGGGTGACAGTCTCTTCTGCTTCCCCTACACCAGGGCCAACTGGAACTTCTGCGGAGGCTCTTTACCGAGGCCCTCTATGAGGAAGCACTGAGTCAGGTGAGTATGGAGAGGGCAGGTCACTCCAGATTTCCAGGAGCAGCATCCATCAACTTGGTTTTCTGGAATTGGAATGGACCCTGCTGTCATAAGTCTTGATGAACAGAGTCAGGTTAGGGGTTGGAGGGGAAGCAGGTGATTGTAACTTTAGCACTCGTCTCTGTTTCTTCCCCATAGTGGTTCACTCCAGATGGATTCCGGTCTCTCTTTGCTCTTGTTGGAACCAATGGCCAAGGAATTGGGACCAGGTTAGGAGAGAATGCTCTAGAGCTGTTAAGTTTTCCCTTCAGATTCAGGTGGGAGATGGATGGAGGAAGATAGCCACAGCTTCCTTTAAGACTCAGGTGGGGTTGGGAATAGCTGTCTAGGGTGGTTGGGAGTCAGAAAGAGGCAATGAGATCTGTTCTTAGCAGTTTTGCTCTGTTGGGTAGCATAGGGTCTGGAGAAAGAATCAGGGTGGAATAGGAGACCCTTCTGCCTGGACTTAACTTGCCTGGAGGTGGAGAGCCTATGACTTTGGCCTTCTCTCCAACTGTGGACTACTTGGGACCCCCAGCTCCCTGAGTCAGTGGGTCCATGCTTGTGATGCTCTGGAGCTGAAGCCTCAGGATCGCGAGCAGCTAGATGCCTTCATTGACCAGCTGTACAAGGACATCGAAGCAGGTTGGTGAGATGAGTCTATGGCCTCACAGAACCTTGATATTCTCAGTGATATGGCAGACACAATCATTCCCCGTGGGAGCTCCAAATTAATGTTGGGGAAAGGTAATTCCTTTGTGCCTGTGGAGACCTTCAGATCTGTCTATAGACATGCAGGTGAGAAATGGCCCTGCAATCCATCCAGAGGCTCCATGCTGGGAAGAAGGGCATACCAGACAAATAGGGTGATGTTACAGACAGAAGATTAAGGCTTGGCCTTAGAGAAGCAAATTTAGGTGAAATGGTAGGACTTGGGTATATTAATGTGGTAGGGTGGCGGGACAGCAGAGCCTAGATTCCTTCATCCACCTGTAATATGGGTATAACAATGTCTATATGTTACTATCTTACAGCAACTGGTGAGTTTCTTAACTGTGAAGGATCTGGCCTCTTCGTGCTTCAGAGCTGCTGTGAGTCACGGCACTGGGGAGGGCTAGACCCACACATTACTGTCCTTGTTAGGTAGCCTCAGAGCCATAGATCATCTTTCTTAGTTGGCCCTTTCTAGGCTGGCAAGGTCAAGTCTAGAAGCAGAGTTGGACCTTTTACTTCATCATTTTTCACCCATTCCATCCAACTCTTTGTGGTTTTTGGTTTTTCAGTGCTAGGCATCAAAACCAGTGCCTCACATGATAGGCAGAGCAATATACCACTGAGCCATTCTCCCCAGATTCCTGTTGTGCTAACAGCCGCTTATATGTAAAATTTTACATCTACGAAGATCTTTATAGGCCCCACCTAAGGAAAGCACAGAGTGATGCTGCCTGAAAAGGAAAGCATGAGCTGAGTGCCATCACTGTCCTGGGAGATGTGTTAGGGGACCATGGGAGAGCCTGGGAGGCCCAGGCTAGGAGTCTCATCAGGTTTGCTGGGGAGGACCAGAGCCAGCTCTGACAAATGACTTCCAAATCTCAGCTTCCCACCCCTATATCCTCACTATACAACCCTTTTCCAGGCTGAGTTTTCTATAGCAGAGAGAACTGAGCTCAGCGGTCTAGTATGGACATCCCTTCAGAGTCCTGTCCCTCTTTTATTGAGACAATGGAACACAGCTGAGAAGTTGGCCAGTCTCAGGAGCCTGGAGTAGGCAGAGAATGGGAGTACATTGTGCCTGTGCAGTATGGTCTTCAAGGGTTTTAGCGAGGAGGCAAGAAACTTGGGAGCCTCATACCTCCTCAGTCCTGCTAAGTTCCAGAGCAATAAAGGAAGGGATCTAGTGCTCTGCAGGGTTTTTTTGTTTTGTTTTTATTAAGGCAACAGTTCTCATTACCTACCTCTTGTGCCCCAGGCAACCACAGCTGTGTCCCCAATGCAGAGACCTCCTTCCCAGAAAACAACTTCCTTTTGCATGTCACTGCCCTGGAGGATATTAAGCCAGGAGAGGTGAGGGGGACCAGTGCTGTGAGGGTGGGCAGTGGGTTCTCCATAGAGATTGGGAGCCGCAAGTGCTTAGATCCCTTTAGACAGATCCTTACAAGCCCTGAAACCTGATTGCCATGCCTGAGGGCCTGTGAGTATGTTCTAGCTCCACCCCAATTGTCCAAAAATTAACACTGCCTCAGAGCAATGTTTGAGGGACAACTATGTGCCCAGGTTCTTGTCTACAGCCAGCTTTTGATCAACAGACCTGCAGCTTCTAAGAAAGCAGTAGGTAGCTCTTTGTGGCTTGAGCCAGAGTAGGCTAATATACTTTGGGAGTACTGGTGGTTAGTGCAATGCCTAGAACATAGCTGAATTTTCTTCAAGTGCAAAAGCATCACATTAAGATAACATTTGATCCCACCTACTGATGTTGGTCACTGGCTGGCTTTTACCATGGCCTGGTAAAAGTTTCCTCTATCTAAGACACATTGTTGCAGCCTTGTAATACCCACCTGCTAAAGCCTGTGGAAGGGGCAGGGGCATTGGTTGGAGACAGGGCAGTCCTTGGGGAAGGTCTTAGTCCTATTGAACGGAGGCACAGACTATTAGACCCACTCTCCTCTGCTCCACAGGAAGTCTGTATCAGCTACTTAGATTGCTGTCAGCGGGAACGCAGCCGCCACAGCCGCCACAAGATCCTCAGGTGCCAGCTGGGGTTGTGGTGGGGTAGCTGGGTCCTAGGGATCACCAGCCCAGTGGCTGCCTGACTTCTCACTCTTCCATATCTGCAGGGAGAACTATCTATTTGTCTGTTCCTGCCCCAAATGCCTAGCAGAGGCTGATGAACCCAATGTGACCTCAGAGGAGGAAGAGGAAGAAGAAGAAGAGGAAGGAGAACCAGAAGATGCAGAGCTAGGGGATGAGATGACTGATGTGTGATGTTGCCCCACCCAGATGGGGCGCTGCTCCAGACCCTGCCAGAAAAGGGGCCCTTCCCTTAGAGAAGAGGCTTGGAAGGAATACCCTACTCCCATTGCCTGCTTTCCTCCTTCAAGCACTCTCTGCCAGAGGGCAGGACAGGCTGGATTCCCCCATCCCCCACCAGACCTCATGCCCTGAGCACTGCTGCTGAGTTGCCTCAGGCCCTGCGCCATCACTGAGCCTTCTAGAACTGGCCTCCTCCCACTGAGGTTACTCCATGTAGATGTTAGGGGCTGGAACCAGGCGTGGGCATATCAGTGTTTCTTCTTGGTTCCTTGACCCACCCTCACATATCTACCTGAGGCTTGTCCCCTATCAACTAGCTGTGGATTTATTTTCAGGGGTACCAAAGTGGCACAGCTAAGAACACATTGGTTTCATTGAAGCAGAAAGGGAAAATGGTGTAGCACTTCACCTTCTTCCTTACTTCCTTCCCATCTCACCTTCTGCCTCGGAGCTGTAGCTGTAAGACAGTAACCTGCCCGCTAGCCTAGCAGAAGGAGGGTCTGGGTCTCTAGCAGAACTTCTGGCTCTCTACCAGGGAATGCTGGACCATTCCCACTGTTTGTACATGGGAGAAGTGGATATTTAACTCCCCAGACTCCAGAATCCCTGTACCTGTGCCTTGCTTCCCAGGTCCTGGCACAGTGGCTGGCCCATGAGGTATGGAAGAGGGGTGTGCAGAGGCTCATCACCATTTCTCAAACCATCTTCCCACTGAGGACTCCAGCAGTATGGCTGAGATCTGGAGGACGAGTCTGCTCCTGAATTTAGGATGCTCTATTCTTCCCTGAGGCCAGAATGAGTCTGGCTTCAAATGTCCATCTTTAGAATCTCCACTGGGGAATATTTAAGTCTTCCAGAAGCCTAAGGAGCTGGGCTACTTAAGAGATTAGCCACAGGTGAACCATTCCGGTTGGGTGCTGTGGGAATTAAACCATCACTTCCAGTTTCTTCCTGCTTGCCTTCCCTGAGGGGCCTGCCTACTGAGGAACCCAAGGGAGGACAGATGGGACCTGCCTGCCTGGTGCCCTCATCTAGCAGGTTCTTACTCCTTCCTGCACAGCAGCCAAGCCCTTCCTACCCTGCCTGCCCACTGTTCTCAATAAAACATGAGTGGTGTCAGGCCTCTGCAGCGATGCTTTGTGGAGAATGGCTGGTCAGGCCACACACGGCATGCTGTAGTCATGTAGGTTAGTGCAAAGGGACAGATTGGTCATTGGCAGCAACATGTGTGTTCCAGGCTTCCCAGCTTGGGCTCATGTTTGGCCTTGGTCACACTATGCTGTGCAAATGTTACTAAAGCCAGGATTAGTTTCTTGGGGTCCCACCTCAGTCCCCAGCACTAGGTTACAAGATAAATCTTCACAGGGGTTCGACTACCACTCTCTGGGGCTTGCTGAGCTCTTGAACAAGGTACTATGTTGGGACTCCCCACAAAAGTCTGAGTACCAAAGGACCTTGGGAAGTCATTGTCTCTCAGCCTCCATGCCTTGCCTTAAGACAGTCTGGAGGCCTCACCCTCCCATATGTTCTTATTCTAGACATAGTCTCAACCCTGTTGAGAAACTTTATTGCTACAATGTCAATGAGGGTTTGAGTCCCCAGACACCAGTTCCTTAAACAACTCCAGCAGTTGCTGTGGTCACTGTGAGGAGATCCTAGGTTGGGGAGGCTGAAGCAGGTGTTATGACAGGTGTCAGATTGATTCAGGCTGCTGCCTTTAGCTCCTTTTGCTTGATTCTAGCCAGAAGACTTTGGGGCCTGGCTTTTGCCTGTCTCTTTAGCATGAGATGTCCTTGGAGGCCCTGGGGAAGGGAAAGCCAGTGAGTGGTGTGGCTTCCTTCCTTCCTCAGCGTGATCAAGTCTCCTTTCATCTGCCTGGCTTCCACTTGTCCTCAGATGCTACCCCCAAACTCCAAATAGCAAAATTCCTGGGTTTCCTTTCGCCAGCACAGGGTCACTTCAAGCTGGAATATAGGAGTAACTCTTCTACCAGAAGGTCCAGGGCGGTTGCAGCAGCTCAAAGGTGGGGATGCTGGTGACATTGACTGGGATGGAGATGATGGCCCATGGCAGCCCATGCTGTTCCAGGGAGCGGCGGATCATGTAGCTGAGAGGGCATGAAAAGAAGTAGAAATGGTCACTTTCAGCACCGCAACTTCCCTTAACTTTCCCCTTCATTTTGGGAGTTCCAGAGTGCAAGAACTCTGCTCTCCAATTGAGGTACCCCAAGATAAGACCTGTGGGAATACATTGTTGATTACCCTTGATTTCCCAAAGTTATGGCACCCCGCTAGGTGCAGCACAGAGACAAAGAACTCTCACCCATCTCGGCCAAGCAGGAAGAGGGCAGGGATGTCAGCTGTCCGCTGGGTACTGTCCTGGATCATCTCCACATAGAAACTGTCGTTGTCAACTGCATTGTCACTGATGATCACGGCTCTACCACCATGCTCTTGTACAACTCGCGTCTTGGAGAGGAAGGAACAACCCCTGGAAGAGGTGGTGATAAAATCAAGAGAACAGCAGGTGCTAGCTACCCCTCTCCTATACCATCTGAGGATGAAAGGACCATGGAGAACTTGTTTATAAAGGCTCTTTAAGTAAATAGTTAAAAGCATGGACAATCTTAAGACATTTTTTTTTAGTACTGCAGAATGAACCCAGGACCCCCACATATGCTAATAAACAGGTACTTGATATCACTTGAACTCATCCCAGCCATTTTGTATTTTGTTTCTGAGACAGGAGCTCCCTAACTTCACCAGGGGGTGGCCTCCAATTCTTGATCTTTCTCTGCTTCCCAAGTAGCTGTGGTTACAGATGTCTGCCGTCATGCCTGGCCTTTAAGACATTCCTTTTTTTTTTTTTGCCAGTCAGAACTGGGGCTTCAGCTCATGGCTGGGTGCTACCCCTAACTTTTCCTGCTTAATTTTCTCCACTTTGAACTTTTTGCTCCACTTTGAGCTTTTAGCTACTTAGTTGTTGAGATAAGAGTTTCACAGACTTTCCTGATTAGACTGGCTTTGAACAGGGATCTTCCTATCTCAGCCTGAGTAGTTAAGGTTACAGGCACAAGTTCTCAGCACCCAGCTTCCTAAAACATTTCTTAAAAGACCCTAAAAGGGGATTATTTAAAAAACAACCAGCTATTTCATGTCATTACCACCAGCCATGATCTTAGAACTGCCCTCTACTACTGCCATGCCTACCCCACTCCTTACCCCCTTTCCACCAGGGCGATCTGGTCCTGGATAAAGAAACCGTTGCTGAGTTCCCCGCAGGCCTCTGGAGGTTCAGCAGGAACAAGATGAATCTGCTCATACCTCGTGTGCTGAAAAATGTTTAGACATTAGGACAGGTGAGTGTTAGGAAAGCACATCTGTATTGGGACTCAGTGACAATCCCACCTACTGGTGCCTCATTATAAACAGTGAAGAAAATGTAGAGGGCATTCGAAGTTGCTGTTGAGCATTTTCAATGCTCACAAAGGCCTGTTTGGTTGTTCAGCTTCACTCTGCCTTTCTGTGAGATTGGTAGGGGAGCTAATTATAAATTCAGGAAGAGAGACATAGGTACCCAAAGGTAGAGCTGACCAAGCTGTACCCTTATTTTATCATTATTTCATGGCCCACAATAAGATAGCTTGTGCCTCCCAGGTGCCTAGGTCTGTGGTATGCTCAGAGAAGTCATCTGCAGAAAATTCTGTATCGAGGCTCCTGTATTGCTCTGTATTGTTCCCTTCTCTGGCTCAGCACTCAGGTAGGATGAAAAAGTCACCACAGTTCAATGAGGAAAGGGGCAAGTTTAGGTCAGAGATCAGATGCATACTTGAACTTACAAAGATACCACCAAAATCCTTGGCAGGTGTGGCTGTGAAGATGTATCGAATGTCCCCAGGACTCAGCACTTGGAAGTACAAATAATCATGGATTCGCAAGCCTAAGGAAAAGGGAGTATAGATGAAAAATCACCCAAGTTTACATCACAGACTCCATGCATTAAACTAGGCTGGCTATAATCTGGGCCCAAAGGCCCAATTCAACCAATTGGGTTCCCAGGGAGGTTGGGAAAGTTGGTTTTTACCTTAAGGAGGGAAGAGTTAATGCAGGGCTGGGAAGGTGGCTCAGTGGTAGAGTGCTTGCCTTGCATGCATGAGGCCCTGGGTTTGATTCCTCAGCAGCACATAAGCAGAAAAAAAAAGCCGGAAGTGGCGCTGTGGCTCAAGTGGTAGAGTGCTAGCCTTGAGCTGAAGAGCTGAGGGACAGCACCTAGGCCCAGAGTTCAGGCCCCACAACCAGACCAAAAAAAAAAGAGTTAATGCAGACAGAATAGAGATTTTTTTGGGGGGAGGGGGGTCTGGTTGTGGGGCCTGAACTCTGGGCCTAGCATGCATGCAAGGCAAGCACTCTACCACTAAGCCACCTTCCCAGCCCCACTATAGAGATTTTTTTGTCTGCTACTGCTTACACAGGTGACCAGAAAATCTTGGAATGCTTGGGTTAGTCCCCATTTGTTCTAAAGTGGACCTGGGAGTTTCAGAGTTGAGATGAAGTAGACCTGACACAAAAATTTTCTTACTGAAATGTGAGATCGAGTTTGGTACTATCATCTCTGGTCCTTAGTGTTCGAGTTTTTGGGTTTGTTTGTTTGTTTGTTTTTGGGTCCGGTCGTGCGGCCTGAACTCTGGGCCTAGCATGGATGCTAGGCAAGCACTCTACCACTCTGCTACATTTCCAGCCCTATCTACCTCTATTGTGTGTGCATGCACACACACACATATGCAGGCTCCCACGTACTGAGACTTGAACTCTGGGTCTGGGCACTGTCCTTGAGATTTTTCACTCAAGACTGGCACTTTACCACTTAAGCCACAGTTCCACTTCTGGCTTTTGGTTGTTAATTGGAAATCAGAGTATCATGGAATTTGCCTGCCTGGGCTGGCTTCAAACCTTAAGCCATGATCATATCTCAGCCTGCTGAGTATCCAGGTGTGTGCCACTTAGACCCACCCAGGTATGTATGTATGTATGTATGCATGTATGCATGTATGCAGGCATTTATTTAGAGCTAGGGTCTTGCTATGTGGCCCAAGCTGGTTTTCAACTCCCAGGTTCATACAGTCCTTTTGCCTCAGCCTTCTGTCTGTCATCTTTATTTCTTTTTGGTCATTCATGGGGCTTGAATTCTGGGCCTGGGCGCTGTCCCTCAGCTCTTCAGCTCAAGGCTAGCACTCTACCACTTGACCCACAGTGCCATTTCCGTTTTTCTGATGGTTTATTAGAGATAAAGAGTCTCATGGACTTTCCTGCCTGGGCTGGCTTTGAACCACGATCCTCATATTTCAGCCTCCTGAGTAGCTAGGATTACAGGCTTGAGCCACTGGTGCCTGGCCTCTGTCATCCTTCTTGCTCCTTAAGGGTCATTACGGCAAACAATCACCAGGGATCTTTGTAATTATGATCATCTTGCCACTTTCAAGGCTTCAGTGAGCTCCTTTATTCCTAATTCTCTTCACTGCCTTCTTGATCTGTATCTTCCCATGTTCAAGTTTCCTGGCCTCCTTTTAATGTCTTCATTTTTCTTTTCTTTTTTTTGGGGGGGGGGGCGGTCGTGGGGCCTGAACTCTGGGCCTGGGCGCTGTCCCTCTTCACCTCAAGGCTAGCGCTCTACCACTTGAGCCACAGTGCCACTTCCGGTTTTTTTCTTTTTTGCTTATGTGGTGCTGAGGAATCGAACCCAGGGCCTCATGCATGCAAGGCAAGTGCTCTACTACTGAGCCACCTTTCCAGCCCCATGTCTTCATTTTTCTGAGTCTTCCTGTAATTAATTAGTTCCCTCTCCCTAGAATGCTCCCTACTCTTAATACACTTCCACTTCTGTTTGTTTTTGCTTTGCTTTGTTTTGATGCCAGTCCTAGGGCTTGAAATCAGGGCACAATCCCTGAGCTTTTGTGGTCAAAGCTAGTGCTCTATCACTTGAGACATAGCTCCACGTCCAGCTTTTTGGTAGTTAACATGAGATATAAGTTTCATGGACTTTCCTGCCCCAGCTGGCTTCAAACTGCAATCCTCAGATCTCAGCATCCTGAGTAGGACTGCAGGCGAGAGCCAAGAGTGCTTGGCAGCCACTTCCACTTCTTTACTTGGCTTGCTCTTAGTCATCTTTCAGATTAGAACTTCCTTGTCATTTTCTGAGAAAACTGCCTCCTGCATATTTGTCCTTTTCTTTCCTACTCAGAATGTACTTCCTTTTTTTTTTTTTTTAAAAAGGACACTTTCAATATAATTTACAATTATATGGTACTTATAATTTTCTAATGTCTGCTTCTTGCACTAGGGCGAGAATTCTAAGTTTGTAGCTTCATTCAGTGCTGGACCCCAGGTGCCTAAGATATAGTAAATACTCAGTAAAGGTTATTAAATGAATGAATGAATAACTGTTCACCTCCAAAGCTCTGAACAAGAAAATTTCTGGAACAACCAGATTTTTCTGGGTTATAGGAACTTCTCAACATAAAGGTTTAGTGTTTTATGGGACTTGAGTCCGTGCACTCCTTAGCCCAAGGGGGATTGATGAATGTTAAAGGATGAATTGTTACCACAGGTCTGTCATCCAGCCACCAAGCCACTATCCTTGTGTGCCAAGGCTGGGGCTGGTTATGCCTTTAGTTGTCCATGTATACTGTCCAAATCACAACTACCATATAGAACCCCACAGAGGTGGCACAGAGCCTTTTGTACTGAGTGTGGGGACCGGCCATCAAATACAGCTACATCTCCACCAAGTCTTGCTAAATGCACTTAAAAAAAAACAAAAAAACTTCATACACACACCCTTGCTTGGCCTTTGCATGAGCTAGCTATATAAATTGGGAGTATGTGTATATTCACATAGGCGTCTAGATGTATACATTTATGTGCTTGTGTAGGTGCAAGCAGGTTGTATAATGAGTGCTTGTGCATGAGTCCACTGTAAGAATGTGTGTTCCTGAATATGTATGTGAATGCTCATAGTTCTCAAGTGTGTACCTCCATCTATCCCTTGTGCCTCCTGTGCGCACCTCAAGTCACCCGTGTCGTCCTTAAAGGAAAGAAGGGGGTTGGGGGGAAGCTGCTCCGACATGGGGAGCTGAGGGCTCAGAACCCAGCCGCAGACTGCGCCCAGCTCATGGACCTGGGAGTCATCATCCACTCTCTCCAGTTGCCCGTCCCGACCTCCGCCTCACTCCGAACTCGCGGGGTCCCCAAGGTGACCTGTGGACCCCTGGCCCGAGACACTCGCAAGCTGGACCGCCAACCCCGCCCCGAAGCCCCGCCCGTTGCCGCTCACCGTGGACTGCGACGCACGCGGGGAGCCAGAGCACGAGACACCACCAGCCCGCGGCGCCGGGGACCATCTCCAGGGCCCGGCCGGGCGCCGCGTCTCCTCCGCCGTCCCGCCGCGCTTAGCTCGCCGGACTTTAGCCTGACAGCTGCTCCGGCCTCCCGCCCACAGACCCGCTCTCCCTGCTGGTTGGCAGACAGGAACCACATCCACAGCTGATTGGCTTTGACGCCTGCTCATGTAGCCGCACCTTCCGCCTCTGCGCCCTAACCCACTTCCTACTGGCCAAGAGAAGTGGAGTCGAAGGCTGATTGGTCCAAACTCTAACAGCAACTGCTGGCCCCCATTGCAGCCCCGCCCCCGAGTTTCCCAGTACAGATTTATCTCCCCGGGACCTCACTGGTAGTGGGCGGGTCCGAGAGGTTAGGACGCCGGTGGGCGGCTAGGTGGGGTCTCTTCAGCTGCCAAAAGGTTTGGCCGTTGGCTCTGGCAATGGCTAGACCAGCCATGGCTTCTCCTGGTGATGCTTCCCACCTCTCCAAATCCTCTTAAGGAAAGGCATTTGTCAAGCGCCCAGGGGGTTCCCGGCTCCGTTCCACCACCGCCGCCGGCGCGCTCACAGTCGGCGGGTGCGGGGGCCGTGGCTCGGTGCACCACGCCCGCCAGGGGGCGCTGGCCGGTGCGATTTGCCACGCCCGCTTCCCTCCCACTAGCTGTGTCCATTTGTCACCGTGGACATCTTTCTTAACCGATCTAACATCGTTATCTGTAAAACAATAGCCTTCCGGTGATCACATTTGTAAGGTGCTTACGTAGCACAAGGCCGTTCCAGTCGGCGTTCAATGAAAGCATTTACTGCATCCCTTAATCTAGCCTTCGGGGACACAGGGAGAGATACGATCGAGGTTAGTAGGTGACACGGATCGAATAAAGACCTTACTTGCTTCAAGAACAAGAAGCACAGGGAGAACCCGGGGCCCTCTGCGTAACCAGCGACTTCGAGAGCGCCCTGGCCCACAGCCCAGCTTCTATCCCTTCTAGCCGCGCCGATTCGGTGGCAGCTAACCATAGAGTTGCGGAAGTGGTCCGTTCCCTTCCTAGAGCAGCCCGAAGACGCTTCCGGGGAGCTCTTTGGCGAGGAGCATTGTGGGCTTGCTGGGCGGCCCGGACACCGACAGCGGAGGAGTGGCGGGCCACTGAATAAGCTTCCAAAATGATGGTGAGTGGAGTCTCTCGCATCCGTCGCCATCCGCTGCCATCTGGAGGGCGGCTGGCGCCGCTCGGCCGGGAACCGCGCTAAAGACTTCCCTCCGGCCTCCCGTGTCCGCACTCGTCGCCACCCGCCGCCTCGGGGCCAGCCCAGCCCGCCTCGGCCTGGCTCGGCCGGGGCGCGGACCTCTGGAGCGCCCGGAGGAAGGTCGATCCTCAGACTATAGGTCCCAGGGTGCTTCGGACCGAGAACCTACGTCGGGGACCCCTTTTCTCGAGTCCCCACTGCCACGGCACTGTGGAGATTTGTCTGAAACCGTGGGCTGGCGCGTGTACTCTCTAGGCAGCTGAACACTGGGTGCTCCGGGAAGTGCGGATGTAAAGGCGTGAGCTTCTAGAACGCGCAGAGGCAGCGTGGGGACTTTATTTTAGAGCCAAGCCGAGCCCAAGGTTTTCCAGTATGGTCACTTGTCTCCCCCTGCCCCGTCGCTGCTGCGTGCATCCAAAGAGGCTCCTTTAATTATATCTGAATGCCACCATCCGCTTTTAGGATCTCCTGAATGTACCATGCCCAGCTTCGTGCTGGACATGCAGCCTCAGCCGGGAGAATGGGTCAGGCTGATGGGGACACAGTTTCAGACATGGGTTCAGATTGCGGTGACATTAATGTATATACGTGCGCGCCGATGGTGGAGTCCCGGGAAGGGTTCTCTAGTCGACTACTTTCCCTCCCCTCACTTACGTGCACCCTCTCCTCTTCGTAGCCGTAGCACGGCCCTTTTTCAGTTCTTCAACGTTGTCTGTACCTAGCTGGGCATGGTAATGAGTGCCTGTAATCCCAGCACTCGGAAAGCTGAGGCAGGTGGATCATGAGTTCCTGGGCTACGTAGTAAGACCTTATCTCAGAACAAAACTTCCCTCCTTTCTTCTTCCCAAAGGTACCTATTTTTCTCTCCTTCCTTTTTTTTTTTTCTTTAACAGTTTATTTTAACAAAGAGTAATTCATGAATCAAGCATTGCATTTAACAAGAATGTTACCGGAAAGTCAATCCAGCTAATCGGCCTTGATCCTGATGTCCAGCAGGAGAATTTAGGCAAGAAGCAAAAGTAGTGATAGTAAATTTTATAGGAAAGAAATACACTAAGTAAACTAAAAGTGGGTCATCTCTAGGGTGAGAATGACAAATTATTCTCGAATTCACCACTGTCTTTGTGCATAGGCAGCAGAATAATGTAACAGTTAAGGTTTAGGGCTGTGGAGCCAAATATTACTTTAGTGTTATTTAATTTTGATCCTTAAGTGTTTTAGAGGGAAAAGCAATAACAGAGGGTTTTGTACTGGGGCTTGACCTGGGGCCTCGTGCTATTCCCTGGATCACTCAGGACCTAGGTAGCTGTCTCTTAGCTTTTGCTGCCCAAAGCTAGTGATTAGCACTTGAGCCACACCTCCATTTCTGGCTTGTCAGTAGTTAATTGGGGATAAGAGTCTCACGGATTTTCATGTCTAGGCTGGCTTCAATCCTCAGATCTCATTCTCCAGAATAGCTAGGATTACAGTCTTGAGCCACCAGCACCTATCTGCATTATGGTCTTGCTCAACTTTTTCCCCTTTCTGCTCATGGCTGATCAATGGAGCCATACTTCTGCTGGTTAATCTCCAATTAAGCTTTTTGTGATTTCCTTGGCAGATAAAGAAGAAAAAAAAGTGAGATTGAAAGTCACTTAGGGACAGACACTGAGCTTTCTCTTACAGTACCTGTTCCCTGGGAATCTGGGAGGAGACAATCACCCTGCTTGAGCTGGTATAGGTAATTCCAGTGCTGGCACTCTGCACACCACATAGGATCTCCTGTTCTGCCTGCCATTTCATGCTCTCCCTCTCCCTCTCTCTCCTCCCCCTCCCCCTCTCTCTCCTCCCCCTCCCCCTCTCTCTTCCTCTATCCTAGTCTCTCCCTTTCTCCTTTTTTTCCTCTTCCCCCTCTCCCCTCTCTCCCCTCTCCTTTTTCCAGTATTGGGGCTTGAACCCTGGGCCTGGGTTTTGTCTCTTGCCTTTTCAATCAAGGCTAGCATTCTTCCACACCTCTATTTTCAGCTTTTTGGTGGTTAATTGGAGATAAAAGAGTTTCACAGACTTCTTTGCAGGGCCGGGCTTTGGATGGCAGCCAGCCTGCCATTTTAGAGCCTGCAAAACACAGGTCTTGGGGAATGTATCCTTAGTTGCTTCCAAATACTTTGCATTGTACTAAATTTTCAGTAACCTGGGCACCAGTGTCTCACACCTGTAATCCTTGCTATTCAGGAGGCTGATCCCAGTTCACACTAGGGCTGGGGAAGAAAAGTCTTCAAGATTCCAAGAAAGCTGAGAGAAAGAGCACAAGGTCCTGAGTTCAATCTCCAGTACCAGCATGTACACACACAAAAAGAATTCTCAGCAAAACCATTGTTACTTGATTGCCAGTAGGTTTTTCTGTTTTGTTGGTTGTGGGGTTTGAACTCTGGGTCTGGGTGCTATCCCTTAGCTCTTCAGCTCAAGGCGAGCGTTCTACCACTTGAGCTATGGTGCCACTTCCGGTTTTCTGGTGGTTTATTGGAGATAAGAGTTTCATGGGGGCTGGGAAGGTGGCTCAGTAGTAGAGCGCTTGCCTTGCATGCTCGAGGCCCTGGGTTCGATTCCTCAGCACCACATAAGCAGAAAGAAAAAAGCCGGAAGTGGCGCTGTGGCTCAAGTGGTAGAGCGCTAGCTTTGAGCTGAAGAGCGGAGGGACAGCACCCAGGCCCAGAGTTCAGGCCCCACCACCGGACCCCAAAAAAAAAAAAAGACTCCCCCCACCTTTAAAAAAAAAAAAAAAAAGAGTTTCATGGACTTTCCTGCCTGGACTAGCTTTGAACTGCGATCCTCAGATCTCAGCCTCCTGAGTAGCTAGGATTATAGGCCTGAGCCACCAGCGCCCGGTTTTTTTTTTTTTTTTTTTAAGTCAAGAAGCCAGTGCTGCCTCATTATTTCATGATTTATGTCAGCACTTTTAAGTAACAATTGAATTATAGCACGAAAAGCTGCAGCATAGTCTTTGTGTGTCTCTTTGGTACTCGATACACAAGGTTACTGTTGTCTTAACCTTTGACAAGCTCATACTTTTAAAGTAGTGTGTTAAAGTTTTGAACGGGAAGTAGAACAGAGTTATTCAGAAGAATTTGGGCTTGAGGGAATGCCCACCTGGTGGTAAGAAAGTGGTTTTGGTAAAAAATGAAAAAGTGGCTTTTTTTTTTTCTTTTAAAATTTGACTTTATGCTTTTATTGTCCCATAGCAAAACAAAAGATGCCTTATTTTGTAGTCTAGAATTGATTCACTGGACACATGCTTGCTCTTATGTGCTCACTTGCTTGCTCATTCGCTCTTTGCTTTGTTGCTCAAGACTGGTGGTCTGACTTGAGCCACACCTCCAGTCTGCCATTTTGCTGCTTAGCTAGACTAGTTCCTTAGACTTTTCTGCCTAGGCTGGCTTTGAACTGCTATCCTTCAGATTTTAGCCTCCTGAATTATAGGTATGAGCCACCGGCACCTGGCTAACCTTTTCTCTTAAAAATTTTTTTTAAAAATAATTATATTTAAGTAGTTGTAGAAAGAAGATCCCATTCCACAAAACAGTATATGAATACAAGGTGTCTGACAACCTTGTCACCCATCACTCCTAACCCATCCCTTCTCTCACTTTTTTTAAAAAATTGAGATTAGATGATTACATAAATTTCACAGTATTGTGGAACAGTGATACTTACAGTCACAAACACATTTTAACCTTCACAAGGCACATGTCAGTATCATGGTCTATATAGTTTATGAATTATATGGTCTTTGACAATACAAATTTTTTTTTCACATCAGGTGATGTTTATATTTCCTTTTGCTTAGTGTAGGCTGTTCCCTCTTTCCCTCTCATTCCTCCCTTCCCATCGCTGTCTTTGGGTTGCTTAGTTCTTTTTCTTCCATGTCCAGTGCAGCTGATAGGTCCCTTTGTTGTATGTTGTTCCATTTCCCACTCATTCTGTGTCCTCTTCCTGTCTTCTCTCCATTGCGTGCATATATCTACCATATATATGGTCAAGCACATGAAGTCATTTAGTAGTGATATGACAAAATGAGTGGCTGTCCTTTGTTTCTTGAGTCCTGTTTACTTTGTCATATCTTGCTTTTTGGCTTTAGCATCCACATATCAGGGAGACCATGTGCTGTTTGTCTCCTTGTTCTTGGCTTACCTTGCTCAAAATGATTTGCTCTAGTTCCATCCATTTCCCTGCAAATACCATTATTTTGTCCTTTCTAATGGCTTTATAATATTCCATTGTATATAGGTACCACAATTTTTTTATCCACTCATCAGTAGTGGGGCTTATGGGTTGTTTCCAAATCTTGGCTATTGTGAACAGTGCTGCAATATGAAGGTGCATGTGTCTTTGTATACTGGTTCCTGTGCCTAGCCACTTGTACCTCTTAATAGCCAGCATCTCTTAAAGCTGAGTTATGCTATACACACCC